TTTATTTATCTTGAATAACTGAAACACTGTGCCCTCTGACAGTCATCTCATTTTCTCCTCCTATGGCCCCTAGTAATCACCTTCTACTCTCAGTTTGAGTTTGACTACTTTAGACTTCACATATAAGTGATATCATATAGTACTTGTCTTTTTCTTTGTGGCTTATTTCACTTATTATGATGTCCTCCAGGTCCATCTGCATTGTTGCAAATGGCAGATTTCCTTTTATAAGATTGGATGATATTCCATATAGATATATATCCATATAAATATATAAATTTAAATCCATATAAATATATCTATAAATATATATATCAATTAAAAGATACATTAAATCTACATTTTCTTTTTCCTTTCATCCATAGACAGTTGTTTCCATATTGTGGCTTAAGTTAAGTTGTTTCCATATCTTGGCTCTTGTGACTAATGCTGCAGTGAACATGGTAGTGCTCTTCAAGATTCTTTTGGAGATCAGTCCTTTTTAGTGACATGTTTATTCAGATTATTTACCCATTTTTCAACTGGTTATTTCGGGTTTTTTTCCAGAGATGTATGATTTTCTTATATATTTTAGATATTAACCTATTATAAGATAATATGGTTTGCAAATATGTTTTCCCATTATGTAGGTTGCCTTTTATTTTGTTGATAGTTTCCTTTGTTGTGCAGAAATTTTTTAGTTTGGTGTAATCATACTTTATTTTTACTTTTGTTGACGTGATGTAGTGTTGTATCCAAAAAAAAAATATTGCCAAGACCAATGTCCAGGAGCTGTTTCTGTTTTCTTCTAAAAGTTTTACTGTTTCAGGTCTTACATTTAAGTCTTTAATCCGTTGGAGCTGTTTTTGGTTTATGGTAGATATAGGTCCACTTTCATTCCTTTGCATGTTGATGTCATTTTCCCAATACCATTTATTGAGGAGACTATAATTTCCCATTTCGTATTCATGGAGCTCTTGTGAAAAATCAATTGGCTATCTATTTGTGTTTTTTTTTTTTTTTCTGAGGTGTTTATTTTGTTCCATAGGTCTATATGTCTGTTTTTATGCCAGTGCAATATTGTTTGGATTACTATAGCTTTGTAATATAATTTGAAATCAAGAAATGTGATGTGTGCAGCTGTGTTCTTTCTCAAGATTGCTTTAGCTATTCAGGGTCTTTTGTGGTTCTATATGAATTTTAAGATTGTTTTTCTATTTCTCTGAAAAATGCCATTAGAATTTTGATAGGGATTGAAAAATCTGTAGATCACTTTCAGTAGTATGGACATTGTAGCAATATTAATTTTTTTCAGGGCCGCCTGGGTGGCTCAGTCGTTAAGCATCTGCCTTCAGCTCAGGTCATGATCCGAGCGTCCTGGGATCGAGCCCCACATCGGGCTCCTTGCTCGGCAGGAAGCCTGCTTCTCCCTCTCCCACTCCCCCTGCTTGTGTTCCCTCTCTCTCTGTCTCTCTCTCTCCGTCAAATAAATAAATAAAATCTTAAAAAAAAAATTTTTTTTTTCAGTCCATGAATATGAGATGCCTTTCCATTTATTTGTGTCTTCTTCAAATTCTTTCATAAATGGTTTATAGTTTTCAATGTACAGATAGCTCACTTCTTCAGTTAAATTTATTATTAAATATTTCATTCTTTTTGATGCTATTATAAATGGGGTTGTTTTCTTAATTTGTTTTTTGAACACTTCTTGTCAGTGCAAAGAAATGTGACTGATTATTGTATGTTGATTTTGTATCCTACAAATTTATGGAACTTATTAGTTCTAACAGTTTTCTAGAGGAGTCTTTAAGGTTTCCTAAATATATAAAACCATGTCATCTGCAAACTGATAATTTTGCATCTTAATTTCCAATTTAGTTAACTTTTATTTCTTTTTCTTGTCTAATTGCTTTGCTTAGGACTTTGAGTACTATGCTGAATAGGAGTGGCAAGAGTGGGTATCCTTATTTTGTTCATGATCTTAGAGGAAAATCATCTGCTTTTCCCTGTTGAATATGATGTTAGCTGTGGACTTTAATATATGGCTTTCACTATGTTGAGTTATATCCTTTCTATACCAAACTTTCTGAGAGTTTTTATCAAGAACAAATGTTGAATTTTGTCATATGTTCTGCATCTATTGAGATGACCATATGATTTTTATCCTTCATTTTGTTAATGCAGTGTGCTACATTTATTGATTTACAAATGATGAATCATCCCTGCATCTCAGGGATAAATCCCACTTGATCAATGTTTATGATCTTGTTAATGTGCTGATGATTTCAACTTGCCAGCATTTTGTTGAGGATTTTTGGATATCTACCAGTAATATTATCTTGTAATTTTTTCTTTCTTTCTTTCTTTCTTTCTTTCTTTCTTTCTTTCTTTCTTTCTTTCTTTCTTTCTTTCTTTCTTTTTCTTTTCTCTTCTTTTCTTTCTTTCCCTTGACGGGCTTTGGTATCAAGATGATGTTGGTCTTATAAAATGAGTTTGGGAGTGTTCTCTCCTTCCCCCACTGTTGCAAACTACCCCAAATAATGGAGGCATTCTGTTTCCCTCCATTTGCTCGGTGAGAAAAGACAGGATTGGTGTCTGCATGTGTGATAAGAACACAGTATAGCTTCTACCCTCTTTTAAGTATTAACTACAATATTATTGGTGATAGACACTATGCTATATAGTAGAATTGTGCCTCTGCTCGGTGCCCCACAAGACTGGGGAAGCCAGGCACTCACTTAGCATTCACTTTCCCCTGTGGGAGAAATCACTGGTCAGGCGGGTCTCTCTTGCCCCTGAGCTGTGCCACATTCAGGGAGGGGTGACACAGATAAAATGAAATATTTTTTTCTTATCTTCTGCCTGCATCTATTCTTGGATTTTTGCTCTAGTGAAGTGCTTGAATCTCTCAACTGGACTCCTGGACTCCCATAAACTTATTTTTATTTGTGGGCAGCTCTTCAAATCAGTGTTTCTGTTGGGAGTTGAAGGTTAAAACCTCCTATTCCATTATCTTGCTGACACCACTCTGAGCTTTTCTAAGCCTTCCATGTTATATTAATGATTATTTATCTTTAAAAATATTTATTTAAACTGCAATATGATTCTTATTCTCTTGGAATTACACTTCCACATAATTTTATTTATTTATTTATTTTTTCCAAACCAGTTTCAAGCTGCTTGAGGACAGGACGATTGTTTATTATTTCTCACAATGCCAAATAACCTTAGATGGTGCTATGCCTAATAAAATCTTCAAAATGTGTTAATCTGATTTGATTTATAAACACTAAAGTAAATGTAGATAGGATTAAAAAACATAAGCACAAGGATTAAATTTATGTTTTCTGTCTAGATAATAATGGCATAATACAGTAAATAATTATGCATTTCATTAAAGAGGAAAAAAGTGATTAAGAGTGAAATGGTGGAGATGACTTAGTGGTGTGTTCTTTGAAAATGTTGATAAAATTAAACAAAAGGGTTTGTTTTGGGTTTTTCTGTTTTTTCTTTACAACTCTCTGTGCAGAAAAATCTTTTTATCTCAGCACCTGATTATCAAATGAGCTATGCCTTCAGACCAGGTGTGATCAGTTATTGATGGTACTGGATCCCCTTTCCATCAGGCTGCTACAATGATTCAGCTCCATTTTATTACTTTTTCCTCTACTACCCTACTTTTCACACCACTATGTTAGGTTATTGTTCAAAAGAATGATCATAACTGAAGTTATCTAATCTAAAGCAGATTTAGGCTGTAAATAAGAGTCTGCTACAATTTGTAAACGCTCCTTTATTCCAGAAACCCGTTCTTCATTTGCAAATCCCCATAGCTATGGCTGTACAGTCTATCATCATCTATAGTGTGCAAAACCAGAATGTGATTACACATATTTTATAAAATGGGAACTGCTGACAACCCAACCCACTAGTTATTTCCTAGTAAAAGCATATTAGTATGATACACATATAACACCATAATGTATACTGTTATGTATCTAGTAATTAATTTCTTAATGACTCACTAAATATTTATGATATTTTCTTATTATAACAAAATCTTCAGCTTCCCCAAGAGCTATCCTAATTTAGGCAGATATTTAAATAGAATCACTTAATTATGCTTGTTTTTCAGTTGTCTTGGGAACAATGTAATAATATTAGTAGAATGTTTTCTTCAGAAATGAAAAATAAGGGGCGCCTGGGTGGCTCAGATGGTTAAGCGTCTGCCTTCGGCTCAGGTCATGATCCCAGGGTCCTGGGATCGAGCCCCGCATTGGGCTCCCTGCTTGACGGGGAACCTGCTTCTCTCTCTCCCTCTACTGTTCCCCCTGCTTGTGCTTTCTCACTCTCTCTATCAAATAAATAAATAAAATCTTAAAAAAAAAAAGAAATGAAAAAGAAAACATTTTGAAGATGTGTAAGCTGTTTAAAGATCAAATTTGGAGGATAATACGGTTGATTGTGAGTAATATTATCAGTGCACTAGGTGATAGACAAATACATAGATATATAGATGGATATTTTTATGCTGGTAAATTTCATTATTGTGGATTTACTGGGTTTCTATTAAATTATTTTAACTGCTGCAACAAATTTTCAGATTGGAATGTATTGATTATTATATGCTTTACAATAATAGCAGCATTTTAAAAGAAGTCCCTAAATACCTGAGGCAATGAAGCATTTATTCTAATAGATCTCTTAGCATAAAGTTTTGCTTAGTGCACGATCTGGATAACTTTGCTGAATCTCCTTGCCTTGATCAGTATAATGATGTTTCAGTTTTGTTCTCAGAATATCAAGTGTTATGCTTTAATATAAATGGTAATTCTTTATAGAAAATGACAAGGGAGCAGAAAATATGCCAGCTGTACTTCTTCTGAGTCCTATGACTTCAGATCTTTGCCTTCACAGAGTTACCCCTTTGACTGAGAACATGATTGTAAAATCTGATTTTGGCCTGATCTTTTAATTTTGTTCTTTTGTTTCCCCCGGAACGGTGATCTGTAAATTCTCAGAGGATACTGAAGCTTCCTGAATATGCCCACTTCTCAAGACATAAGGTAACTAAAAAACTTATAATTTATAAACTAAAAAATGTCAAAATATATGTATCTCCCAGGGTTTGGTCCTAAGTCATCCCTTCTTTCCTGTCAACTTTATCCCTCTAGGTGATCTATCCAGTCCTGTAACTTCTAATGTCATCTATAGCAAACAGTCCCCAGTCTTTATCTTTCTTCCTGTCTTCAAATCTATATATATGAGTGTTTATTTGATTCCTCCACTTGGGTCTCAGAACATAATTTCCTCTCATCTTCCTATTGTCCTCCCATCCTCCTCCTCCAGTCTTTCTCATATTGATAAATAGCATCACATCCAATCTGTTGATTAAGCTAACCTAGGAATTATCATTAATTGTCTTTCTCTCGGCTCCCATACCATACTCATCAGAAAATCCTGTTGTTTCTTTCCAAAATACATCTCATTTGCATTGCTACTACCCTATTTCAAGAAATCTTTGCTCATCTGGGCTAATGCAATAGTCTATTTAATGGTTTGTCTGGTTCTACTTTTGCTCCCTAATTAGCCATTCTCCGCACAACAGACAGTGTGATCCTTTAAAATTCGTGGCACCCTTCTGCTCAAAATCCTCCAATGGATTCTCATTGCACTTAGAATAAAATCCAAGCTCCATACAAGTCTCTACATGATATGGTCACTGCCTCCCTCTCTCTCTCCAGTCTTAATTGCTATCTCTTGCTCCTCCTCATTGACTTTGCTCTAACCACACTAGGATACTTTAAGTTCCAGGAAAACACCAACTTATTTCCACTCTTGAAGCTTTGCATCTGCTTTTCCCTTTGCTTGGAGCTCTCTGCCCTCTGACTTTCATGCTGGGCTTGATGTTTTCATTCAGGTCTCAACCCAAATGTCATCTTCTCAGAGAGACCTTCTGAAAATCAATCTAAAGAACTACCTCAATTCCTCTGTTTCATCCACTATTTTATTTTGTGCATAGCAGTCATCATCACCTGAATTTATCTTACTTGTATATTAAATTTTTCTCCTCTATTTGGAACTGTGATCTTTCTATACTTTTGTTACTCTATCTCCCACCCCTAGAAGAATAATTGGAACATACTAGGTATGTATCCTGGGAGTGTAGGGATACGTGAGAGAGAAAAAGACAAAAAAACAAAGATAGTTTATGTGCAATATGATACTGAAGTGCTTGACATTTAACCCATGGTTTGAGTAAAAACTGGTTTGGGTAAATACTGATCTGTAGGATTCTTGGATGCAAAAGATTCTTTGGACAAATTAGTTTGGAAGATTCCATTAGAGATTTATAAAACTTTTTAGTCTTTTATTCTATAAAATTTTATAGTAAGGAATCTTAATTAATCATATTTGATCAAATGAATCCTAAAGTTAATTGGCCCTAGAAAGTATCCCCCCCCCCTTTTGACATATTGACTTTTGGAATTGCTGATCTAAATCAACACAGTGTCCCACTTGGAAAAGAATTAAGGTAACAATAAGGTAATATCTTTTTTTTTTTAATTGTTTAAAATAAAGCCTCAATGAAAAGGAAAGACATATTTGTTTTTGAGAATTTTGTAGGAATTAAAAATGGCTACACTGAAAGAAGAGACAAAAATATGCTAAAGAGAAAATTTGATAAATAGCAGTTAAGATCTTAGAAATCCATAAAATAACAATAGCAAAAATTAAAAAGGAAAAACGGATACTTTAAAATAGTTTCAGATTTAGAAGAATAATATTGGGGAATTTTGAACAGAATGTAGTCAGATTTCTAAAAGGTATAATTATCAAACTTATTCTTTATAAAACCTATAAAAGATGGGATAACATAAACATGAATATCCTGGTTATAGTTAAGGTAAGTGATGTAAAACCAGACGTTTGAAGTTAATCAAGAGAGATTAGGGACATTAAATTGAGAGATATAAGTCTGTGAAATTTATAATTAACCACAATGTGGAGGGATAGTTTTTAACAGCTACTCTTTAAAAAATCCTGTTTTTAGCTACATAAAATTTTACCAACATGGCTGTAGTGCTTTGAATTTTCATCATATATTTATGCTTTGCTTTAAAGCTTATGAAGAGCAAATATGAAAGTTTGTCATAGATAGGGGATGTATTATAACTCCCAAATGAAAAAAAAAATGTGTATTTGAATTCCCAAGCCTCTATATATCTATCCACAGAACCACTGTTATATTTTTAAACCTCATTCTTGGAAACACTGCAGATGTCAGATCAATTTAGAAGCCAAAGAATACCTCTGGGGTTGACATGGCAGCAACTGAAATAGTGTTTGGCCAAATTAAGAATGTATGCCAAAGATGCCAAAAATCACAGTAACCTGGCAGGTGGATAGCTATTATTTAACTGTATGATCATTACCGGTTTCTCTACTGAAAAACTACCGGCTGTTTATGCAGTGAAATGGAGCCCATGATTTAGGCAGAGTATCTCTCTGTTTTGATGTCAATAGTAGCTAGTTGGGGATTATACCCAATCACAAAATAGAATTTCTCAAGGAAGTACTTGGGAAGGAAAAAAAAAAATCTTTTAACAAATTATATTATAACTCACTTAGAAATAGAAATGGAACAATATCAATTCAGAAATTATTTTTGCTATATAATCTTAATATTCAGAATGCTATTCATATTCTGCACTACTTATATATTTCTTTCTTTCTGCTACAAACAGATTGGCCTGATCTCAGTTTGCTGCAGAACATTTCAATTTTAAATTTTTATTCTGTAAGACAACTAATAAGATAATTATTTTTAAATAACTTTCTCTATATGTTCATGATTCCTGGATCTCTGCTCCCTCATCTGCATACTGGTCTTACGGTATTGATCTCATGCTGTTTGGAAAGAACTTAACTTTCATAATTTTTAAAATCCCAAATTGGCCAAAATTGCTTAAGTGCCTCGAAATGCAACATGTGTTCTTACATTTAAGAGAGTTGATGATATTTATAAATAGCTTCTTTCTCTGGATCCACATTATTGTCCTCCTAATGGATAATGCTTAATGATAACATTGTTTTAAAGTGGGAATATCTGCTATTTTCAAAATGCTGGAATTTTTCTATTCCATCATTAAAGGAAGAAATTGATAGTAAAGACTACTTCAAAATTATAAATGTATATCCTCAAAAAGTCTTATTAGGAAATTAATTTCATTTCTGTAAGCCTCAAATGTAATCAAATAGTCCCATTAATGACCCATGTGTAGTGGAAAGAACATTAAATTTGACCTGTGTATGTGTCCTGCCTCTTCCAGGGAGAGTGTATTTGATCACATCACTTCTCCTAAATGTACTTCTTTGGTTAATGACATGAGTGTAATAATACCTAACCATGCAATAGTGTTGTTTGTAAAGAAATGCAAAGAATTATTACTATTAACATCATTGTCATTTTCATCATTACCCATTTACATCATTATGGTTATTATCAAATTTAATGGAGTCCATGAAAGATTTCAGAACTTCCACATACACAGTTACAAATCTGAACCCACTATTTAGGGGTAAAAGGCAAAATTTAGAATTTAATATACAATCAAATAACAAACATAATTTTGACTATTTTTTATCTTTTCTATACTTGTACCTGTCAAAATTTCTAAATTGCTGTATTGGACAAATAATAGAAGATACAGAAAGTATAAATTGGAAAATGCAAATGTTTAATTCAGGTAAAAGAAATTACTAGGTGCTTCTCAGCTCTTTCATGTCCAAGTTGAAATCACAGAAAAGGCTTTGGGCAATCACAAATAAATTGATGCTACATTTATGTGCAAATTTAACCTCCCACATAATGTTCTAAGTGATGTGGTTGTATCGGTTTTAGAAACTGACAAATAAATTACATTTGCTAGGGTTCCTATAAAAGAGTGACACAAAATAAATTATAATATAACATAAAAATTAGTTTTGATATGCAAAATTTTATGCCCTTTATGTCATGTATGCTGGACAATGATAATCTAATGGAAAGTTAGATTAATTAAATAATCCAGAAATTCTTTAATCAAATACCCAAATTCAAGTGTTCTTGACAGATTGAATAATCAGCACTGTTGAGAGCAAACCTCCATATCTAAGAAGCAAAACAAAGAAAAAAGCACACACATCTGGGCAAATAAATCTGTCTGAATCCTTTATCATTCTTTATCAGTTTAGTTTTTGTATTGTATCTTTTCTGAGTTGTGCACTGGTTTTGTGTGTTTTTGTATAACCATAAGAACACATAACATGCTAAAATATAAATAACTGAGCTTGAATAGACTTTCAATAGTGTAATCATTCATTTATCCATCCATCCACTGAGGAAACAAAGATATCTGAGTATCTATGTTTAATTGGCATTGTAAATACAAAACTAAATGTCACCGCTTGGCTAGCTTAAAAATAATGATTAAAGTCTAGTATGATAAGTAATGCTACACACATGCACGCACACACACGCACACTCAGCATATATAGTGTTGGACAAAGAAAAGTGTAATTTCAAATTTGTCACATAGAACAAGGAAAAACCACTTGAACTAGATTTCGAAACCTACCAGGGATTTTTAAGTGCTTAAGACTGAATTGTTTACTTCGGGAGAGAGAAAAATCATGTGCAGTGGCAGAGAGGAGTAGCATGAGTTGAGTTGAGGTGGGGCCAGATATATGATAAAAACAAAAGTAGATGGGCACCTGGGTGGCTCAGTCGTTAAGTGTCTGCCTTCGGCTCAAGTCATGATCCCAGGGTCCTGGGATCGAGCCCTGCATGGAGCTCTCTGCTCAGCAGGAAGCCTGCTTCTCCCTCTCCCACTCCCCCTGCTTCTGTTCCCTCTCTCACTGTGTCTCTCTCTGTCAAAGAAATAAATAAAATCTTAAAAAATAAAAAAAAGACAAAGGCAGAAACTAAATCATAGAATACTTTGTAATTTCATTGAAGGAATTTGGAATTTGTGGAGTTTAGACTATGGCTAATATTGTACCCCTGCTGCCAATATAACATTTG